ACACATCCATTTTTTCTGAGGTATGCCAAAATGTTCAGAAACCTTCAAAACGTCGAGAAATGTAAAAATTTTGATTTCGATTTTTGGACGATTACTATAACTTACCCTACGGGAAGTTAATTATCTGTTGTTTTGCTGCATTCAATTTGTATGCTAATTTCATCGGTTGCATGTTCGTTTTGTTATAAATAATTAAAATACAACAATAGTGTTATATATTGCTAGAAAGGTAATAAAATTGTCTACAAATTTGTTTAATAAATCTGTCTACAAAACGTTTAATAACTTTTCAAACAAAATTAATTAAGAAAAATTAGTGAATTTAGAATTTGGTTAGACATTAATGAGTTTCGTCAATTTTTTGTTATAATAACATAAAAGTCAAAATTTTATAAAAAAAATCTACTTACATCCATAACGACTTTAATACTCTGCTGCCCATGGAACATCATAAAATAAATCGGCAACTCCTCAAACTTATCAGCCCAATAATCAAACTCCTGCAGATTATCATCTAATTTAATTCCACTAAACTGCTGCAGCATTGCTCGAGCCAATCGTGCATTCTGGATCTCAAAACTACCCCATAGAGTACTAACCTAAAAAATAAAAGAAAAAACTTATTATTAACAATATATAATACTAATATTATATTTTAATTATTTATAATAAAATAAACGTGTATATAAAAAAGTGCAACCGATGAAACTAATTCATATACTAATTTGTTTATAAAATGTTTTAAAATTACTGCATTTAATTTTGAACAATGTACCCAACAGCATGAAGTTAGCCGCGGGATGGTACTGTAAACACTTTTTTGACCGTTAGCATTTGAATTTGAATTTACAATATAAAGTTTGTGTTTTATAATTAACTATAATATTCTATGTTGTGAATAATTTTGTTTGAAACGTAGTAAAGTGTTATATACAGATTTGTAGATAATTTTATTGGCTTTCTAACAATATGCAACTATATATTATTATTTACCCCTTGCATTGCCAAGTCCAAAGAATATTCGCTCATAAATGTAGTCTTTCCACTGCCCGTAGGTCCTGTTAAAACTGTCAGCTCACCTCGTCTGTGTCCTTTTAATATTCGATTCAAGACAGGATAACGTTTCCATTTGACACCAGCTACCTTATAATAGATAATGAATTAATAACAAGACAGTTGAAGTTACTTTTTGGCAAAAATTAAGATTTAACTTATATGCTTCCCATGTCGTCCGAACCTAACACTACGCTTTTCCATACATTTTTACTTAGGCTCGATTACGCATGGTAAGCGTTAGTGATATATTTTTAGTACAAATGTTAGTGTAATTTAGTGGTGTAAATGGCATTTTGCCTTGAGGCGAGTTATATGAATTTGATGGTACGTGGAGATAGTAGATTTATTCAATGAAAAATTAAATAAACTTATAATCGAGTCACTTAACATAGACCTGTAATATTTTAGCATCCAGTACAATTTCAGAGATGTGTATATTAAATTTATTTTATTTTTAAAAGATTCTACTAATCAAAAATAAAATAATATAAGAAGCTACAAATTTTACTGACAAAGGAACTAAATATATCTAAAAAAATAAAATTTAACAGATTAAAGAAAGAGACTTTTCTGACGAGCAAATTAATTAGGAGACTCTACTGTCAAGCAAATTAAAATATCTGATTAAAAAAGGGACTCTACTGACGAGCAAATTATATTAATCAAGATGAAAAAGGAATCTACTGACGAACAACGTTTAATATCAATGTATTAGATTAAAAAAAGGACTCTACTAGATCTTGTAGATTAAAAAAATGACTCACTGTTCAACCAAGGCAAGTTTATGATTAAAATTCATTTGAAAAAATATATGTATACATAAACTACGGATGTTTTGTTAATTTTTAGCCTTACATAAATAAAATATGAGTATAAAATATTTGAAGTCAAACTTTTTAACTCATATTTGACCGGCAGTACGAAATATAGCTTATACTCTTGCAACTTTTGAACAGTTCATCCAAATTCAATGAAATATTCGGCAAATTTGTTCAAAATTAAACAATCTACAATATTGTCTAATGTCACAATGCCCTAAAGCAACTCGGTATACTTTAAAATTGCAATTGAAACCAAACAAATGATTCGAGTGTAAAGTATACTAGTTTCCATACAAACTACGATATGTCACAGATTTTTTTCATACAGTGTGCATTGATATCTTGATTTGGAATATAGTACATTGGTGAAAATTTTTGTTTCAATGCTTGTAACTTCTAAACCATTCGTTTGATGTGAACGAAGCATTCGGCAAATTTGTTCGAAATTAAATAATTTGCAATGTTGTCTGACATTATGAAGCCGTACAACAGCTCGGCATACTTTAAAATAGCATTTGAAAACATATCACGTGTACAACTTTGCATCCGCCGTTATTGTGAAGAATTCGTATCGAAAAACGGCGGAAGCAAAGTTGTGTGAAATTTAAAGCACTGATGTATCATACATGCCATAACTTCTAAACCATTTGTTTAATATGAACGATGTCTTCGGCAAATTTGTTGAAAATTAAACAATTTACAATATTGTCTAACATTATGATGACCTACAACAACTCGGTATACTTTAAAATGTATTTAAAAATGCATTACATGTACAACTTTGCTTCCGACGTTATTGTAAAGAATTTCCCTTGGAAAAACGGCGGAAGCAAAGTTGTACACATAATACACAATAATGCAATTATTTAAATTCCCATACCTTTAATGATTTAATAATGATAACAACTAATTAATAGATAAAGTAAATTCAAATTACAAATATAAATGATCAAAACTGTTTAAATTAAAATGTGTAATTCAAAATTCACGACTAATTATATTATGATTAATATAAGTTCGTACTCTGTCCTGTTTCCTTTCATATTATGTTCGTACTCTGTCCTTATTTATTAGTTTATTATCTTTCATTTATTTTAAGATAATCACAAACCAGTTTTGTATACAATCCAATAATCTTCACTTCGCCTAAAGTTAGTTTTAATATCAAAAAAGTTGTTAATTAAATTTAAACAAAACTGTTTATATTGAAATGTCTATTTTAAATTTCGCGCGCTCGTTGGGAACTGTCAACACCGTATGCGACAACTTCATATATATATATATATATATATATATATATATATATATATATATATATATTTATGCAGTAATTTGTTGTAAGAACCGTAAGAACTATTTGCACATACATTGTTTTATTTAAATTAAAGTTATAATTAAATAAAGATAAAACTAATTACATATTGAATGCAGCAAAACAACTTATTATAATTTGTATATAAAATGTTTTGAAATTACTGCATTTAATTACGAACAATGTACCCGACACAATGAAGTTAGCCGCGGGTTGGTACTGTCAACTCTTTCGCGACCGTTAACATTTGAATTTGAATTTATGGTATAATATTTGTGTTTTTATCATTAATTGTAATATTATATCTTTATACCAATATCAATTATCAAATTATCTATATTACAAGTATTTGTAAATTATGCGATTGTTTAAATTTCCATACCTTTTCTATATTTTGCAATTCCAACAGAACATCTTCTCGCAAAGCACTAAAACTTGTGATAGCCTTATGCCAAATCGTTTGGGCATTTGATAAAATCTGTTTTAGATCTTGTTTTGTACTTATCGCTTGGTAGGGTCTTTGTTGATTTTCTGTAGGCCTAAAAATATGAAAATTTATATAATAAATAATAAATATAATTATTTAATACTAATAAATTATACTAACTATATTTTATAATTACATACAATTCAATTAGATAATTTCTTGTAACATTTTTTAAATATGTACTTGATATACCTATGGTTATGTGAGTTAAGTAACAAGAACGTAATATAAAGGTAACGTGAACGTAACAGACACGTAACATAAACGTAACATTAACTTAACTGTGTTGAAACAGTTTTAAAATAAATGTAATATAAACTCGATTTGTAAATAAAGATAAAAGTCTGTTTAGTTGTTAAAAAAGTCATTTTCTTGTTTTAGTATAAAGTTTTTCGCATGATATACTTTATAACCTGTTGTAGAGTTTTTTTGCAAAGTGATTAAAAATTTTACTAGATTTTTAGGAAATCTACAATTTGCTCGTCAGTAGAGTTCGTTTTATACAAATAATTTATAATAAGTTTAAGTAGAGTAGAATTTTCTTACTAATATATTTTATGAAATTCAGTTTGCTAGTCAGTAGAGTCCTTTTTTATATATGATTTTCAAGAAATATCACTTTGCTCGTCAGTAGAGTCCTTTTTTATATATAATTTGTAAGAAATAACATTTTGTTCGTCAGTAGAGTCCTTTTTTATATATAATTTGTAAGAAATATCAGTTTGCTCGTCAGTAGAGTCCTTTTTTATATATCATTTTTAAAGAAGTAACAGTTTGCCTGTCAGTAAAGTCCTTTTTAATGAAAAATCTGATTTGCTCGTCAGTAGAGTTCCTTTGCTATTAAAAGTTTTTTTAGTTTGTTCGCCAGTAGAGTCCTTTTGCTAATAAAAAAATTTTAGTTTGTTTGCCAGTAGAGTCCCTTAGCTATAAAATAATTTAAGGTTTGCTTGTCAGTAGAGTCCCTTTTTTGTATAAATATTAGTTAAAAATATTAATTTGTAAGTCAGTAGAGTCCCCTCCCTTTTAAAAAAAATTCTAGTTTATTTGTCAGTAGAGTCCTTTTAATAAAAAATATTCTGATTCGCTCATCAGTAAAGTCCCTTTGCTATTAAAAATTTTTTTAGTTTGTTCGCCAGTAAAGTCCCTTAGCTGTAAAATAATTTAAGGTTCGCTTGTCAGTAGAGTCCCTTCCCTTTTTTATTATATAAAAAAAATTCTAGTTTATTCGTCAGTAGAATTCTTTTTTTATTACCTAATTGACTAATTGACTTTTTTATTGACTAAATTGACTAATTTGCTCGTCAGTAGAGTCTCTTTATTATTACAAAAAAATTCTAGGTTTTCGTCAGTAGAGTCCCGTAGCTATAAACAAAATCTAATTTGCTCGTCAGTAGAGTCCCTTTGCTATTATAAAAAAAATTTAGTTTGTTCACCAGTAGAGTCCCTTAGCTATAAACAAAATCTAATTTGCTCGTCAGTAGAGTTCTTTTGCTATAAAATAATTTAAAGTTTGCTCGTCAGTAGAGTCCTTTTTTATGAATAATTTGTAATAAATCCCAGTTTGCTCGTCAGTAGAGTCCTTTTATATAAAATATTTTCCAGTTCGGTCGTCAGTAGAGTGCTTTTCCTCTTACCTTATAAATAAACAACGTTTTTCGCTCAATTTCTTTGCAAAATTCCTCGAAGTGTCCCAATTATTGGCATCGTTTCCAAAAAACCACAAAATTAATTTTGAATAATTCTCAAGGGCCGGAAGACATTGTTGGGGTAACGATTTTAAACCGTAGGGAAGACAAACAGGAGTACCTGAAGGATAAAAAATATTTCTCTTTAATTATTAACTAAAACGCTAACAATAAAAAGTATAATGAAAATATTTTACTATTAATTTTCTGTGTATGCAACGCCAAAAAATCCTTAATCGATAATACTAAAACGGCCGACTTGGAAGCACTAGTTTTTGTTGAAGTAGAAGTTTTCTTCATAGTTGCAAGTCCACTGCAACCCACTGGTGGTAAAGTTGATTCTCGACCGTTTAAACTATTTATAACCTGTAATAAAAATATAAACAATATATATTAATCTTTATTATAAGTAGTATATAAATTATTTTTTTATCTACATTATTTATACTGTCAACTGTCAAAATCTAACATCACAAGTGTGAAGATAACATTAGTTTGACTTCACACCTATAAGTACACCACGCGGTAATACTAATTAATTTGAACTGCCTGAAGTTATTTTGATAGTGTTGCCGTATGAGATTTTTTTTGTTTTATTATTATTTGTATTTATTTTAAATATTTACCTTGAAGCCGTCTAATTGATTGTCGGCATTGTGTAAAGGAAAGTATATATTTTCATGTTTCTCATCGACACGAGCCTCTGATTGTACAATTATATCTGCGGGAATTTCCTATAAAATAAACATATATATATATATATATATATATATATATATATATATACATATATCTAGTTTGCATGTCAGTAGAGTCCCTTTTAAGACAGAAATTTACAAGAAATCCAGTTTCCTCTCCAGTAGATTCTATTTCTATATAAATAATTTCTAAGGAGCAAACTAGGTTTTATAATATTTATGTAAGAAAGGATGCTACTGACAAGCAAAGTTAAAAAATAGTGAAGATAGTTTAATAACTAAAAGGGATTTTACTGACAAACAATTTAAAGAGAAACATTGTTCAGTGAAAGATAAAGAACTCTACTAACAGGAAAACAAAACATTAAGGCATTTCTATTGTGACGAAAAAGGGCTCTACTAACAAACGAACTAAAATATTATGAATTGTTCTATGATTATAAAATGATTTTATTCTTTATTAATTTAAAAAAAAATCAAATGTTCAATTATCTTACGAAAGAGCTTTTATTTATTTGCTCCGTTGTTTTATAGTTGAAACTTCAGCAAAACGTCTTAATGACAATGAAAGCAATTAATTTGAAACCAGAATCCTAAAGCATTTAAATTAATAAAAACTCTTACAATTTATTTATGTAGAAAGGAGACTCTACTGACGAGTAACCTAGATTTCTTCTAAATTATATTAGAATTTTTTTTTGTTTAGAACTCTACTGACAATCAAACTATGTAAATAATACTCTACCAATGGGGATATTAGAAAATTAAATATAATATAACCTATACTATTATATTATTATTATTACTGACGAATATTAGCAAACTAATGAAATAGAAAAAGGGACTCTACTGACGAGCAAACTGAAAAAATATGAAGAAAAAAATTCTACCTAAGAGCGAATGATCTAAAAAAAACCAAAAAAGGAAACTCTACTAAGTTGAGCAAAAAAAAAAAATGACAAAAGAAACTTTACTGACAAGCAAATTAAGAAAAATGTTAAAAAAGAACTCTACTGAAGAGCAAATTAAAAAATTATTGAACACAATGTCATTAGACAAGAAAAGAACTCTAATGACAAACAAATTAACAAAAAGACATATACTAAAAAATAAAGAAAAAAATCTACTCCACTATAACATTAAGAAAAAAGTGTTAAAAAAAACTCTACTGATGATCAGATTTGGGGAAAAAATGATAAAAAAAACTCTACTAATGAGCAAATTAAGAAAAATGTTAAAAAAGAACTCTACTGACGAACAAATAACTAAAATTGGAAAATCTTTATATTAAAAATTATTATCAAGTTGGAGTCGTCTGTAGAGCAAACATTTTTTGATCTAACAAGTGAAAAACATTCTATCGATTTCATTCATTTTTTACTCAAATTTTTGGAACATTTTAGAAATACTCATGTTAATAATGAACATGCAAAACTATTAATTGAAGCGCGGATTATCTAAATGTTAATATTGAGAGCTAAAACTTTCAGAAGATATTCTTTTATCAATTTGGAAGCATTTGAGCCCTTGGGAGCAACAAAATTCCCAAAAATGTCCATATTAAGGACCACCATAAAATATATATATATAAAAAGAATTCAATGACTAATTATTACTATTTCACTTACCTCTAAATTAAACCTCCTCAAAAAATCCTCATCCTGTTTAACCATACTTTCCGTAACAACCTTTGTATCCTTTATTAAATAATCCCACTCCTGCGCTCCTCTCGCCCTACAATTACAAATCTCACTCCTAACATTCTGCAAATCGATTTTAAACTTCGCAGACTTCTGCTGCGCTAAAAACCTCTCCAAAATATTCCATTGATTCGTATACTTGCATTTCGGACAAATAAATAAACCTAAAAAATAAAAATAAAACATAATTAAAACCAAAACAAATTTATTTATCCATCGATCAATTACCATTACCTGTAGTTTTGTTTATATAAACTCTATTCTTGTTTTCGTTTGTGTCGACTTCACAAAAGGGGCACTCGGTGACAATGTTGACAAAGCCATCTTCGAATGTGACTTTGTTCGATTTCAAAGACTTCTTTACATTTGTTATCGAGAAGTCTGTGTGCAGGTCTTCGGATAGAAAGGTGCTGAAGGGTCTTTTGGAGACTTTTGAGTATACTTTTCGGAGTTTTATGAAGGTTTTGAAGTTGAAAATGCTTTTTTCAACGAACATAATGGACTTGGGTATAACCTAGAAAAAGCATGAAGAGAAATTTATTTAATTTGTACCCAAAGCACTAAGCATAATAGTTTTAGGTAATACTAAAGCCTTAAGCGGCATGTATAGAATACATTTATGTTATTATAAACCTCTTAAACTAAATTTATTAATAAGATTTAAGAATAAAACTTGTAAGTGCAAATACTAACCTCAAAAACTTACATGTTATAAATTATTAGTTTAGACATTAGCAACGTAAAATAACACACGTTTTATAAACAATAATGTTGTACAAACATATTTATATCTACTTTGTTATTATTTAACACGTTTTGGCTGTATTTTGTTATTTTTAAACATTTTCTGCGCGCTTGACTACAAAACTGTCAAATACAAACAGCGTTACCATCTCCAAATTTTTTTGTTAAATATAAATGAAAATCTAAAAACATAATTTTAAACAATATTGTTGTACAAAGATAGTTGCATGATAGTTGTTTAGATTGTTTCTAAATATTTTAGTATATAATGGTTGCTTGTGTATGTATCTGCATTTTATTACAAATATTCTCTTTACTTCAATTCATATTTCGCGCGCTCATCAACTGTCAACGCGACCTGTCACCCGCCGCCATCACTGCCGCCATAATGCAAAAAACAAAACACTAACAAAATTTTGTTAAATAAAACCAATTTTGTAAACAAATTTTACGTTCTATCATATTTAAATATATTTTTAATAATGTTGCAACCTACAAAGTAAGTTTTATGCATTTCCTTAACATATATATGTCTATTATATTACATAATGCTACATAACCTCATCGCGTGTCATTTTACGTCATGTCATTTACGATTTCAGCTTAATGGGGTACTTGTCGTCTTTTCGTTTATTATTTAGAAAATACAGTATCGTTGTGCTTTTCCCGACATTTGCAGCTGGCTCGATTTACGCGGACTGGTCTAATACACAAAAGTGGAAAGCTAGCAAGAAATTGCATTGAAAATGGGCTTGTTTGGATTCACAGTAAGATAAATGACAACAATTAATAATAATATACTTAATAATAAATACACCTGCTTTATATGCATAATAATGTCGTCGTTTATGTGTATACTGAATAATTATAATTATTGTTTTTTATTAGACTCACCACATCTGGATGATCGTACCCCTAGCCGGATTCTATTTAGGAAAATTAATCGATGACTCTGAGACCCGAAGGATGACATTGTTCCGTGACAAGAGTGCTCTGTATGGTGGTCGAGTTAAACCCGGTGATCCACCATCCTGGCCCTGAACGGAAATTTTAAATCAAAATTATTAATTAAAAATTGATTCAATCGAGATAGTGGGTTTGCGTTTTGTTAGTTGTATTTTAATTCTTAAAATAAAGTATGTAAATTAATAAATGGATGGAAGAGTTTTTATTTTAATTTTTATTATTAAAAATTTATTTATTAATTATTAATTAGCATCGTTAATTAAAATATGTTTTAGGAATCTTGGGAAAGATTTGTTCAAACAAATACTAAGGCATTTAAATCGAATAAAAGAATAAAATTAAATTATTATACAGAATTAAAGTATTAAACAAAATTAAATACTAATTGTTCACTTTTGTTTGTGCAATAAAATCTATATTTTTATTTAATTAATTCTTGTCTCAAAACAACTCTAAAAAGTTTGCATGTGGGGTCTCATTTAAAAGGTCTTCAAGAGCACATTACAAATATATAAAGAATTTTGAATTTTGACTAATTTTGTTTAACAAAATTTTCAAAAAATTACTTTTACAATTAGTGTTTAACAGGAATCTTGGGAAAATTTTGTTGAAACAAAGACTAAGGCATTTAAATCGAATAAAATGACAAAGAAATTAAACACACATTGTTCCGTTGTATCTATTTTTTTATTTAATTAATTCTTGTCAAAATTAATCTATTAAAATAAACAAGATTGTAACAAAAATGTTTTCATATCAAAATCCAAAAAATTTGCATATGGGTTCTCATTTGAAAGGTCTTGATGAGAACATTACAAAAATATAAAGCATTTTGAATTTTTCCAAATTTTGTTTAACAAAATTTTCAAAAAATTACTTTTACAATTGGTGTTTAACAGGAATCTTGAGAAAATTTTGTTGAAACAAATATTAAGGCATTTAGATTGAATAAAATAAAAAAAATGCAGAGAAATTAAATACACATTGTTCCCTTGTATCTATTTTTTTTATTTAGTTAGTTCTTGTCTCCGCCATTTTAAAATTAATCTATTAAAATAAACAAGATTGTAATAAAAATATTTTTGTGTCAAATTCGTCCAAAAATTTTGCATGTGGGGTCTCATTTGAAAGGTCTTCATGAGCATATTACAAAAATATAAAGCATTTAAAATTTTTCCAAATTTTGTTTAACAAATTTGCAAAAAATTAGGTTTGGTGTTTAACTCTCTATAATATTAGTTTCATGGGTTGCATGTTCATTTTGTTATAAAGAATTAAAATATAACAATAGTGTTATATATTGTTAGAAAGCTAATAAAATTATCTACAAATCTGTATATAACGTTTCAAAACTTTTCGAACAAAATTCAGCAACAGAAGTCTGTAAAGTTGAAACTGCAGTTAGCCATTGGTGGTTTAGGGGTTACATTTTTGTATATTTACGTTTATATTGCTAAAATTTGTTTTACAACATATATATTGTTATATATCGTTAAAAAGCTAATAGAATTATCTATAAAATCTGCATATAACAATTTATATCATTTGGAACAAAATTATTTATAAAATATTTCTAAACTTTCAAGTGACATTTTATTTTATCGGTTTAATCGGTTACACTTTTTTATACCTACGATTATTTTATTAAACAAAATTAAAATATAACAATAATATTATATATCGTTAAAAAGGTTATAAAATTGTCTACAAATCTGTATATAACGTTTAAAAACATTTCAAACAAAATCATTCAAGAAAAATTTGTGAAGTTTAAAATTTAATTAGCCATTGGCTACATTTTTTTTGTTTATAATTATTGTAATAAAATTTGTTTTCAGAGTTATTTATAGTGATATATTGTTAAAAAGTAGATAAAATCATCTATAAATCTGTATATAACAATTTGTAAGTGTTGGAACAAAAATATATTAAAAAAAAATTGATTAAATTTTGAAATTAAACAACGAGTTATGCCTAGTTAATATATAGTGTTTGGTCAAACATTTTTTTAGATTTTAATTATTTTTTCAAATAATTTGTTTCAACATGTATATATTATTATATATTGTTAAAAAGTAGATAAAATTATCTATAAATCTGTATATAACAATTTGTTAGTGTTGGAACAAAATTATGCAAAAATAAATCGTTAAATTTGAAATTAACATCATCGTAAGGCGTCCATATTGTTTTAGTTTTAAATTTCTTTTATACATGTTGACAGTTGCAAAAACAAAATGTCTACTTGACAGTTCCTAATCTAACATGGCGGCTTGACAGCTCTAACTTGGAATTAATTCGAGTTATAAATAAATGTCCGTGGTTTATATTTATATATATATTTTGTTTAAATTTAATTAAATATATTATAAGTGTTATATATCATTAGAAAGCTAATTAAATAATCTACAGAACTGTATATAACAATTTAAAACCCGTAGAACAAAATTGTCTGCAAAACGTGTTTAAAATTTGAATTTGCAAAATTTATAATTTGTGAACTGAGACAAGATGTTTTTTATATTCCAAACTTTAATAATTTATCGTACGCCGTAATCATCTGGTGGCGTAAAAAATAGGAGATTTATAAAAATAATATTATTACTGAGAACATATTTTTTAATCTTATAACTTTAATAAAGTTAAAAAATACTTAACATGTTAACAAACATATATGACAGATACGATTAGTAGAATTTTTTAACCGAAAATAAAACTTTTGCATTTCTTCAGGTTTCAGAGGTTTCTGAACATTTCAACACAAGAAAATGCTTTGTGAAATAAAATATTTCAGTGAAAATCAAATCATAATATGAAATAATATAGATTTTGTAAAAAATAATATAGTAATAAATACAAATACAAATTTTATATATTGTAAATTTGACTAGTTTTATACAAAATTTGCATAGGACTATATTAAACTGTTTATGAGGAATTTTAGTAAATTTTATCTACATTCTGCTAAGCTAAACAAAAAATAGTGTCCTAAACAAAATTTTTGAGTAATTTAACAAAATTTCAAAAAATGTCCCGACAGATTCCATATACTAAAAATTCATATAATATATTAGAGTGAGTTCACGTTAGTTTTAAACAAAATTTTCAAATAAAACCATATTAAACTGTTTATATACATTTATAGAAAATTTTATCTAGTTTTTGGTTAGGTAAATAAAAAAGAGTGCCCAGGACAAAGTTTTTGAATAAATTAAAAAAATATAAAAAAATGTCCTCTCAAATTTTATATACCAATATATTAGGGCGTGTTCACATTAGTTTTATACAAAATTTTCCAAAGAACTATATAACACTGTTCATATGAATTTGTAGTAAATTTTATCTAGATTCTGCTTATCTAAATGAAAAAGAGTGCCCCGGAACAAGATTTCGATTAAATTAACAAAATTTGAAAAATTGACCCCACAAATTTCATACGTGGTAAATTTTCACAATATATAAGGATAGGTTTACATTAGTTTTACACAAAATTTTCCATGGGGTTAAAATAAACTGTTTATACAAAATTTTAGTAAATTTTATCTAATTTCGGCTAAGCTAATTAGAAAAAAATGACCCATACAAATTTTTTGAGTAAATTAACAAAATTAAGAAAAATATTCTGACGGAATCCATATATTATACAAAAACCGGACATAATCTATATATAATATATTAGGACTAGTTCACAGGATTGAATTAAAATTAAATATTGAAAATATAAGGTTAGGAAATCGAGTATTTGGCAAAAACATAAACTTCTACGAAAAGTTAAAAAATATAAAAATAAATATGCAAGTAATAATAGACACAGATATTACATATAATAATGCAAGTGAATATAAATATATGAATATATAAATATATAAATATATAAATATACAAATATAAACAAACATAAATATATAAATAACAATTATACTTAATGCCATAAATGTATCATTACATTTGCACCAAAAACAATTTATACCCAAAACTACATTCATTTACCATTTTGAATTCCCCGCGCGCCATTTTTATCGATATTTCGCACCATAACCAAAAATATCGATATCTCTGTCAATCCACCTGTCGCCAACTTGTCGTCAATAAAGGGTGCATTCGACTTGGACGCTTACGCGCTGTGAGCGCGCCGTGAGCGCGCTTTCATCGTTCGACTTGGCGCTGTGAGTGTCACATAAGTACGCTCGTAGCACCATCGTAGGATGCTCGTAGCACATATTTTGCGCTCACATACGCTCACGCCACAGAGGTAGGGCAGCGTGAGCGTGAGCGTCAGTTGTTTTTACTATCTGTCATTTCATTTGTTTATTAATTGTCAAATTCTTTATAATTCCGCAAAAATGGCAAGCTGTATGTCACAATTATTTTTTAATATTAATATTGATATTAATTAATTTTAAATTTAGTTAATTTTAAATTTTAATTTTAATATTACTATTAATTAAGCATGAGCTGACCAAATTTCATTTATTTATTAATTGTTAAATTCTATATAATCCCGCAAAAATGCCAAGTTGTATATCACATTTATTTTTTAATATTAATATTAATATTAAATAATTTTAAATTTTAATTTTAATATTACTATTAATTAAGCATAAGCTAACCAAATTTCATTTATTCATTAATTGTTAAATTTTTTATAATCCCGCAAAAATGCCAAGTTGTATAACACAATTATTTTTTAATATTAATATTAATATTAATTAATTTTAAATTTAATTAATTTTAAATAATTTTAAATTTTAATTTTAATGTTAATATGAATTAAGCATAAGCAAACGAAATTTCATTTATTTATTAATTGTTAAATTCTTTATAATCCCGCTGAATGATCCAGAAAGTAATAAAATTTACACAATTACCGTTACCGCCAGTTGCCGCCATTTTGATGCTTATTGACGCTCACAGTTTCCAAAACGAACGGATTTCAGTTATCGATTCTGAGCGCTTATCGGCCAAGTCGAACGCTAAAAATTCGTGCTTATAAGCGTGAGCGCTCACAGCGCGTAAGCGTCCAAGTCGAACGCACCCAAACAAACACCTGTTTTGACAGTTGAAGTCTGTTGATAACGTTTTTATTTACAATTGTTAATAAATATATATAATTATGCAATTAACAGACTATGAAGTGTTGTGTATAATAGGCTCGGGCTCCTTTGGAGTCTGTTATAAGGTAAAACATAAGAAAAATA